CCCCCCCCCCCCCCCCCCACATTTTTATTATTTTTTTTTGTGTGCATGCTTTTAAATCCTTTGTTCCCGTGATGAGTTCTTTATTTTCATTAGGGGGCAATAATAAAATGTTAAATGATGAACAGAAAGAATGACTGGAACGGGTTAGGAAGCAAGTACAAAGAGTCCCTCTACCAGAAAGTCTAGTCAATATTATTGGACACTATCTATATTTGGCAACCGATGTTTGCAATATGTCTTCATCATCAGTGGTTACCTGCCCATTATGTGTCGGCTTCAGGTCATGACATTTGTAAACTGATGAATGCTCTTGAATTATAGCTTAATCTTTACCTACATAGCATGGCTAAATACAATAATTATTTTACTTGTATGTGTTCATCCGAGATTTAACCCACTTGTTACATGTTTCTTTTTGTCACTCAGGTGACATTTTATATATTAGCTCCAGTAACTATTGTATCTTCTTGCCACTCTTGTCACGTGATATCGTTTAGCCACTGTTGATGTAGAATAGTATTTAATGACACTTAATTGTTGCAATAGCACTATACGTTGTTTTGGTAGCGACCGCTTAGTTCAGAGGCTAACCAGTTTATAATTTAAGTTCTAGATAGCGTCATCATACCTTTGTACCTGTGGTATTTGATGTAAAAACGAAATGCTCATTTCGGTTTGCCGTTTACGATGCTACCATGTTGCGATTGTGTGGAGCTGTCATCTTGGCAGGCGGTGTACTTCTGGGCATCTCTTGTGTGCGAACACATGTCGTGTGAGTTCTTTGGACGTGTAAATGCCGTCAAGCAAACGTTGTGATAAAAACACACATAACGTAAGGCAGCTGTTGGGGTTATGTCAATGGGTCTGGGGGTCGTACGTTTAGTACGTACGTTAGGAGGAGGGGGGCTTGTGGATATTGGAGATTTTGCGCACGTGTGTACGGCTGGGGGAGTGGGGTCTCGGGAGAAAGTACATACATTTATTCCTAAATTCTACAATAATTATCCCGAAATCCTAATTGTACAAAAATAGCCTATTTATGTCTCTGATGTTGTAAAAATATCCCTCAATGTTGTGTAGGACTTAGCGTCATAATGTTGCCTTGCGTTTGCACCAATGAACGCGCTGGACATCAATCCGATTGGACTCAAACGTAGTTGTATCACAGGTATAATTCGTCCACCGTATGTTCTCAGTGCGTGTGACGTATCTCACCCCCCCCCCCACAAACTCAGCTAAGTCTGTGGTTCCTAAATTGGTTCGATTACCGGCGCCTATGCAACCGTAGGCTTTCTAAAGGCACCCTGTGTTAAAAAAAAAAGCATGTAAGTCGCTGAGCGTCATCTTGAACCTACTAAGCGTAGCTACTGAAGCGCTTCACTGAGACAACATTGGATTAAAAGTGGAAATACAATTATGAAAAGTGGGATATTTCGTAGCTCCCCTGTGAGGAAGCCGAAGCAAGCCAATACATGGCAATTCCGAGGAAATACGGCACCTGGAGCGAAGCCTGAAAATGTTACCACTTAATATACTGAAAAAGGTGCCCCCCCCCCCTGGGTGAACGAGTAAATAGACGATTTTTAGCGCCCCTTGTCTTTCTGAAGTGTATGGTATTTTACATAGTAGTTTCCTAGACAAATCCTGTCTAAAGACGATGGACTCGCCCATGATGTTGATCCCCAGTGGTGACTGCCCTCTTTGCCCCATTTTGATGGCTGTGCCCGAGGGAAACATGGCACCCAGAGCGTCGAGGCGTATATTATGGGAACCACTGGGCTGGCCAAAAATGTTGGCGTTGTGAACCCGTGACACACTATTTGTGTTTGTTTCTGCAACGTCCCAATTATCGATAGATGATTGGATGTCATTGGTGCTTTTGTGTTTGTGTGGTTGGGGGGGGGGGCATAAACGTCTTGTACGTACGCATTAGAGGGTGATGTTCAAAATGTACGCGTGAAACAGGGGGAGGGAGGTTGTAAATTTCACTTGTACTTACGAAATCCAAACTCTCGTCTGAGCTCTTGTTCTCTTTCGTCTTGACTAAACACTATTTGTGTTTGTTTCTGCAACGTCCCAATTATCGATAGATGATTGGATGTCATTGGTGCTTTTGTGTTTGTGTGGTTGGGGGGGGGCATAAACGTCTTGTACGTACGCATTAGAGGGTGATGTTCAAAATGTACGCGTGAAACAGGGGGAGGGAGGTTGTAAATTTCACTTGTACTTACGAAATACAAACTCTAGTCTGAGCTCTTGTTCTCTTTCGTCTTGACTATTGCAACACTGTTCTGTCACGTTCACCAAAACAGTTCATAGAAAAACTGCAGAAAGTTCAAAACTCAGCTGCAAGCTAGTTCTAAAGGAAAAAAAAAAAAAACTGATCACGTCACTCCACTACTCCACTCACTTCATTTGCTCCCTATACAGGCGCGCATTGATTACAAGCTGCCTCTTCTCTAGCACAACTTTTTCTCGGATTCCTGCACTTCATTTCTAACCGAACTTCTTTCTGTCTATTCACCCCTTCGACAGCTTCGCTCCTCCGCAGACACGCGTATTCTGTCCGTTCCCAAGACACGCACTAAAACATATCGTAAACGATCTTTCTCTTTCTGCGCCCCCAAACAATGGAATTATTTGCCACTACACATCCGCAATATACCAACCACCAGGGCCTTCAAAACTGCTCTCAAAACACATCTCTTTAAACTCTACTACCCTGACTGATTCCCCACTCTAACTGATAAACGATGCTGCTGGGTGCCGCCCATGCTTTGCCATGTAAAAGTTCTGGGGTGGGTGGGGTGAATATACATTTGTTTTTGTTTTGTTTTTATACTGCTGCTCTTGTATGCATGTTATTTTAATGTCACGATTATGTCTCTTTTGCAAATTTTTTGATGTACAGCGCTGAGAGCCCAGCCCTGGGCTAGGGTACCGCGCTATATAAGACAACTAATAATAATAATAATAGATGACCCCTGTATGCATTGATCAGTTTATTATTTACCTTCATTGGAGCATTCGTTTAATTCTTTTATAACGCACTCACGAAATGTTAGTCTACTATGTCTTTAAAGCATAAACCTGCTCTAAATAAGATCACTGCTCTCAGAAATGTGCATTCGTATGATACATAATTTGAAAAATATATATATATATATAAAATCATTTTCGTATTTTACAAATAGGCAAATGTTATCGGAATCGCCTAAATATGTTTTTGCCATCAAAAATGTACAAACTGCTTTGAGACTGGTAGAAATCAATTTGTTATAGCAATTATGTACAAATAGACAACTGCTTTTAGAAGCGTACCAACTAGCAAGATTTCTTAAAACACATTGTCTCTCAAAACTAAAGACAGAAACCTGCTCTTTTCGAAACCGGCGAAGTGATGTATTTATAATAAATGAATATAAAAACAATGGCTCTTAAACTTGTACAAAAGGACAATGGCTTTTAAAATGATACAAAAGGACTATGGCTCTTGAAATAGTACAAATAGATAATGGCTCTTAAAATGGTACAAATAGACAATGGCTCTTGAAATAGTACAAATAGATAATGGCTCTTAAAATGATACAAATAGACAATGCAAACAAAAAATTTGAAAATGACTTCCAGCTATCAAATAAAATGATACAAAAACTTTTTTTTTGACATAGGAAAACTTTAAAATTTACTGCTTTCAAAAAAATTACCATTTTCGCATTCTGACTTAACGTGTTTTCTCTTCGACTGATCAGAAATGTACTTTTAAACGTATTCCACCGACATTTCTAACGAAAGTTACATGATTCTCTGTATATATTATAAAAGTAATAGATCTAATTTCTTTTTATTCGCTTAACTCAGTGGATATGATAAGGATATTTGTAAACACATGTGTTCCTCTCATATATAGATATTTATTCTTTCAAGTACATTATATTGTAAAGGCCACTGATGAAAATATTGATGACTTTTGAATGATAAATAAATTGATACCTTGCTGTGTAAGTTCAATTTTCGTTCAATGTTTAAGCAGTCCATCCACTGACCAACGCCAAGAGCTCTGTTGTCACTGACCACGATCTAAAATTAACACAGGCATCAGAAGGCTGACAATGGACACGTGGAATGGCCGATGGAAGACATTAGGGTAACGTGTAGTGGCTATTCTATCACCTCAACGTCTGTATCCCAGCCTACAGGGTCACCGACGCTGAGATACATTACCATCCTATGCGTCTGCTGGAATCACTCTCGGAATATGTCCTTCAAACATACATTTCTAATTACCTTGAACTTGGCGCTCATAGTCAGAACATCGTTATCGCCAAACAGCACGAGCTCCTCACCTCCGTCGCCCGTCACGCCCATGAACAACACCGGAAATGCAAGTGTCCGAGACGTCGACCACCACGCGCGTGTAACATTTGAAGCACACGTTCTTGCAATTTTCCCATTCGATAGATCATTCGGATTCGGTTTCTATGAGTTGTCTGTGGCGATGTCTCTGGCGGAGGAAAATATAGCAAAGCGAAATTTTACCAACAAGATTAAATTCTACTTTCGATTTGCCGATTCTGAATGCAACGAAAAGGACGCTGCCATGGCGTTCATCACTCATTACTTTGCTCAGCAGGTCAGCGTTGTCATTGGTCCGTTTTGCGACTACAGCCTTTCGTCCGTCGGCAGTTACGCACCGTACTGGAACATACCTGTCGTCTCCCCTGGGGGGTTCAGTCACGAGTACGATAAAAGAGGTGAGGATTTCAATACCTTGACCCGGGTGGGGGGCACGCTCGAAACGATGTCGGGCTTGTTGTTCACTTTCATGCACCGGTCCAACTGGACGAAGTTCGTGATCATCTACGAGCCCCCGGTGGACAACAGTCTGTGCAATCTTAGGTACGGCGCCATCAAGCATTACTTGAAGAACTACCCCAAGCTTCAGATGGCAGGCAAGCAGGCCACGATCCTCAACAACAGCAGTAACATGTCTAAAATTCTAAGAGAGGATGTAGGAACACAGAACAGCGGTGAGTACTGGATACTTTTCAACCAAACTCGCCGAATGTTTTCAAACCATATTATCTTCTCCTTATTTTCTCCTTATCTTTTCCTTACGTGTCTAAACATTTAACACTCACTAGTGAGTTCAAGATACACACGTGTATGCTTTTCACTTAGCCCAAGGAATGCACGCATTTTTTTAAAATCTTGGATTCATTTTATCGGAGGCTACATCCTTGTGTTTCCATTTATTCTAAGGCTTGGGACTCAGTGTTCTATCATTAAAAAAGTTGATCATGTGACCGTTACGCTAACTTGTCACTGAAACTAAATGCTGCCGGGGCGTTTCCTGACAATAATTCATTTAATTACTAGATCGATACCAAGTAGTCGTGTCGACTGTTGTTGCGCAACAATGTGAGGAACGATTTTCAAAATTGGTCGATTCGAAATTGGCACGCTTGTGCGCATGACAGGAAAACAGGAAACTATGATTGTTCTGTCACGGGTCAAGAAGGGAGATATATAGAAGGGAAATGGAGAAAATTATAAATAGAGATTAGGGAAATATACGAAAGGGGAATAGATGGGAGAGACATAGACGAGATGGACATAAAGAGGTGGGAAATAAACGTTTTGGAAAAAGAGAGGATGCAACTGAGATTTTAAATGAAATGTTACAGAAAAATTTTGTAACACAGTATGATTCACACTTCTCTTATAACTGCGATAGTTACCTCAATAAATAAACTATTTTTATAACGGTTGTTAATTGTTGAGCATGCATGGCAGGACTTATCAGTGAAGTAGACACATGTTTAAAAAGAACTCGAATGTACATCAATTAATTATTTACACTAGAATCTAAATCAAGAGTTTGCTCTTTCCGTTGAAATAAACTCATTTGAAAAACGGACTTAAACTAATTGCCGGAAAGGCCGTAGGATGGGGGTGGCACAATGAGTTGAGACACTGATACCATCCCAGGTTCCATCTCCCAGGTCCCATCTCACAGGACCCATCTCCAAGGCACCATCTCACAATCCCATGGTCATGCCCTATCTCCAATGTCCCATCTCCCAGCCCTATCTCCCAGCCCTATCCCCCAGGCGCCGACAAACAGGCCTCATTCTCAGGCACCATCTCACAATCCCTATTTCCGGTCCCTATCTCCCAGGCCGGATCTCCCAGGCCCGATCTCCCAGGCCCGATCTCCCAGGCCCGATCACCCAGAACCCATTGGCAGGCCCTTTCTCCCAGCCTCCATCTTCCAGGCACCATCTAACAATATCCATTCCCAGGCCCCATCTCCCATCTTTCAGGAGCCATCTCACGTGCCCCATTCCCAGGCCCCATCTCTCAACTCCCATGCCCCATTTCCAGGCAACATCTCTCATCTCAAAGGCCCCAATCCCTAGCCCTATCTGACAGGCCCCAATCACCCTAGCTCCATCTCAAGAGGTCCCAAAACTCGTAATATTCCATCAACAGTGTGTCCATGATTGAGTCAAAGGGCGAATCACTTGAGACGTTACCCCAGGTGTAATATTTGCCCCATGTGTAACCGTTGCCCCATGTGTGACCTTTGCCCTGCCTATGTGTAAAAGGGAACCACGTCAACGGATTACAGTGGACAAATAGAAAGTTAATTATTGGAGAAAGGAATCACATAAAATATTACAAGGACAAAAACATCATTTGAAACATTAAAAAATTAAGCCTATTATTTCTTCAATCTAAAGAGGAACTAATAATTGGACATTGCACATTCATCAAATGATTGGACCATGCGCAATCATCAAATGATTAGACCACACACAATCATCAAAAGATTTTCTTTTGACACGAATATACGTTTGATTGAAATCGATTATTTGAATGTTGATAAGTTCGGACATGAATAGAATATATGACGCTCAAGGTGATCACGAGAACTATCCATATGTTTTAACGTGATCTGATTGGCACGCCTAGGGTCTGGCTCGTGTACTTCCCATGGTCTCAACTGCTAATGTCCTACATAACACATGTTTATGTACTTCGCATAGCCTCACCTGCTAATGTCCTACCCAACACATGTTTATGTACTTCCCATGGCCTCACCTGCTAATGTCCTACCCAACACATGTTTATGTACTTCCCATGGCCTCATCTGCTAATGTCCTACCCAACACATGTTTATGTACTTCCCATGGCCTCATCTGATAATGTCCTACCCAACACATGTATATGTACTTCCCATGGCCTCATCTGCTAATGTCCTACCCAACACATGTTTATGTACTTCCCATGGCCTCATCTGCTAATGTCCTACCCAACACATGTTTATGTACTTCCCATGGCCTCATCTGCTAATGTCCT